TCAAACGCCTTCTCAAAGTCAATTTGCACGATGATTAACGGCCGCTGTCCCGGTTGGCTGTGCCTAGTAGTAAGGTACTGCTTGGCAAAGAGATGGTGTGTAGTACCGAAACCCCTTCTGAAACCCGCTTGGCCTCGATGCCTAAGTGAGAGCGTCTCCCCTGTGCGAACGAGCCTATCCAGGAGGACCAGTGCATAACATTTCGCCAAAGCGCCCCCTACTGCTATGCCCCGGTAGTTACTCGGCATGCTGGGGTCCCCCTTCTTGTAAATAGGGGTGAGGACGGTAGTCGTAAACTGCCGTGGGAAGTCCCCAGTCGCCCTGATATGCTCCAGAAGCACGTGCAGTACCGGAACAAGCTGATTCACTTCCCCCCGTCGCCTGCCCCCACCATTACCCGACGCGGAGCCTTCTTCCTCTCGGGGCAAACGTGCATAGCGGTAACATTCCGACGGCGCTACTTCCAAACCTGGTGCCTTACTGTTAGGCAGCCGGTCAACAGCACGTGCGACTTCCTCCCGGGGGTCTAGGATTTCTGCTGCCTTCGCAGTCCTGCCCAAAACCGAGTGGGATGACCGCCATTCCTGCCCCTCTAGGAACTGCCCAAAGTTAATGAAGTTCAAAAGCCGGTTCGCACCATCAGGCCCTGTCTCCCCTACACCTGCGTTTAAGAGCCCAGCAAAGTGTTCCCTGAAGACCTCAATATCATCTATCGCACATCGCTCTCTCAACTTCCCTCCTAAAGCCCGCCACAAAGCTCGTTGGTCTTGCCGACATTTGGTCACAAACTCTCTCATCCTATCCTCCTCATATGCCGCCCTTGCGTGTCTTTTTGCCCGGTTATAATCCGTCCGCGCATGGCGGAAAGCCTCCCATTCCGGACCCGATTTATTACTCACCCGGCCTGGACCCAGATGTGCTCTACTCTCCAACATGCGTTGCCGTGTTTGTTGACATTCCCGGTTCCACCAAACCGTATTCCCACCTGCCGTCATGCCGGTAGGTCGGTGGGTATCGAAGGCCCTCACCAGGACTTTGTACAGGGCACCTCCAATGCGTTCGACAGCTTGTGTGGTATTGCAAACTCCCCTCTGCAGGTCCTCGGCCACTTGGCTTAAGGCATTCATAGTAGGGGACCCCCCCTCAAAATATTCCGCATAATCCTGGTATCGTGCAATATCAAACTCCACCCGGGCTTTCCGGCCTTTACCGTCCCTACACCTGCTTTCGTCATCCACTGTAACATTAAGAACAAGCGTCAAAGGACGGTGGTCGGTGGGCTCCCATCCATCCAACTCGATCAGGTTCCCTACCCTCAGAAAGGTGGCGTACTGCTGAAGCACACGCGGAGTCGCTATGAATAAATCGATCATACTACCGCCTGCCTCCCCCTTAGGGAAAGTTAGGCGGCCTTCTGGGTCCCCTCTTATCCGGCCGTTCATCACGAGCAGTCCCTCGGATCTGCAGAGCGCCCCAAGCTGGGCACCAAAGAAATTGCAAACTTGGTCCTGGCACTTTCGATTTCCGAGTCCATCATAATTCTGGTGGTCCCTCAGTCCTTCAAAACCCATGACCTCGCATACGGCTTGTGACTGCTCTAAATCCGGGATGTCATTCACGTAAGCAGGTAAGTCCATCGGGGTAGCACGGTTCCGCTCATGCTGTGCTCCAGACAGACGTGCGTTAAGATCCCCGGCTATCAGCACGTCCTCATCGCCAAGCCTGAGTTCCGTTAGTGACTGTTGGATCCTGGTAAAAACGGCTTCTGCTGCTGCAGTGCGCTGTGATACGGTGCCTCCACCATCCGGGTAGACCCTGGACGTCTCTGGTGCGAGGTAGCAGGCTCCCATCAGGAGACTGCTACCTGTAGAAAGGCTAACGCGTGTCCAAATGACCTCGCACCCTGGCAGCTGGTTGTCCTTGCGCACTACCGTAATACCCCTCGTGAGTGACTCCCGTACATACAGCGCGACGCCCCCATAATCGGCCCTCAGGGCTTCCTTTGACCTCTCCACCCGGAAAATACGGAACCCTTCCAAAGCTATGTCTTTCTCCTCAGTGGTGTCCTTCAAATGCGCCTCAGCTATAACCACAATATCGTGACTCGTGACGAACGACCTAATTCCTGCCTGGTTGAGCTTGAAAACTCCCGCCTCCAGTAGCCCGTGAACATTCCATAGTAAAATCCTTAGCCCTCGGCTCGCGAGCCCCTAGGTGTCATCCATTTCGTCAGTGTTGGGGAGGTTTGCGAAGCGGTTTGTCCTGTTAACCGCCAGTTGGTCCCGTGCCCTGTCGTCCCTGCCCCCGCTACCGCTTCCTCCTTGGCCCACCTGCCCGTTTCGCGTGCTACCCGCCACGAGTCGGAACCCTTCAGCGTCGACGCCCCGGCTGTCCGGCCCTGGTACTCGTGGGTCGCGTCCGGCTGGTGGTCTGTAGCTCGCTCGCTCCAGAGTGCCTGGTGACGCCGTGTACATCAGCCCAATGGTGCCCTCGGTCCGCAGCTGCTTCGAGGGTTTCGCCTTTACAGCGCTAAGTGAGGCCTCGGGTGGTATTTTGCTTTTATTGTTCGCAATAAGCGCAGAAGACATATGTGGCTGCGGAACACAAAACAATCACGTGCGTATAGATATTGCCCTTGCGCCTTCTTGTTGTATGAATAGTTTTACACACACACGCACACACACACACAGACACAAATGTATGGATAGTTTTACACACACACACACACACACACACACACACACACGGGGCACGGCCAGAGGATGCACCGGAGGTTGGAAATGAGCGAGTGTCCATCCTTCTCTATGCCGACGACGTTAGCCTTCTGGCAACAACACCAGGACGCATGGGGGAGTTGCTCAACATTGTGGACATGTTCTGTGACGATTTTGGGATGCGCCCAAATGTGTCGAAATGTGAACGCCTCGTTTTTGCGAGTGACAGCAACATTAGAAGTGCTGTCCAAGCATCGTGTGATGAGCTCAGGCTGGCTGGAGAGGCCATACCGGCTAAGGATAGTGCGCGATATCTGGGGTTAGTGTATGGGCCGGAACGGCAGTTCTGGGCCTGCCGCCAGCAGTTGTATGACACAGCTAGAGCAGCTATGTTCGCGTTGAGTGCAAAATTAGATAAGCTGAAGTTGTTCGCCCCAGATGTGAGGATGAGGTGTTTCGATACCCAGGTACGAGCAATACTGTTGTATGGTTGTCAAGTGTGGGGGCCGTTTATGCTAGCTGAGGTCTTGGACAGGCTCAGGAAGCGGAGTGATGCGAATAACCTTGCAGAGGGGCCCTTTGAGGCGTGCCTAAAGGACAGGGCAGTGCAGCTTCAGATATCTTTCATGCGGCAAATTGTAGGAGCTGCCAGACCAACACACCGCCTCTTGTTCGCAGAGCTATCGCAGCTACCCCTACACTACCACGTTCTCAAGCAGGTTGTGAGGTTTTGGAACCATGTCCGTTTACAGCGTGGGTCTGTGGCATACCAAGTTTTGCGACAGGAGGTCGCAGAATCCCTCTCCAACCCCGAAGGGCCCGGATGGGGGACACTACTCCTCCGTTTTCTATGTTTTTTTGGGGCACGATGTATGGAAAGAGGCCCCGCAAGGGCTACACGAGGTAGACGAACGAGTGGAGTGGCTGATGAACAAACCAATGCCAGAAGGTGTGATTTTGGAGTTCAAGGACCGATTAATGAGTGGTTGGAAGCATACGCGTTTAGATGTCCAACCTGACGTGTATCCGTCAGACGGCAAGCAACCAGGAATTCACATGGCGAAGTATAAGCATTGGATGGGGCTGGCGGCCGAGCAAGCGGGCAGGAAGGAGGTGCTCCCGCACATCACAATGTTTATCCCACGTTCGGCGAATCGCAAGCTTATGCAGTTTAGGCTTTGCTGTTGGGCACTGGCGGCTAACAGAACGCGTAAGGGACGGCGTTATATACCTAGGGAGGAGCGAGTATGCCCTTGCTGCGGCACTGGTAGCCACATCGAGGATGAAAAGCACATTTTGCTGGACTGCCCGGTTTACGACGGAATCAGATCTGATATGGGCTTTCCACGCTTCGAACATATGAAGGACGCTATGAAGTGGGAACCTGAACGCCTGGCAAGGATGCTGGAACGTATATGGTCTCACCGCAACTCTATCGTTCCCTTTGGTCGTTAGTATACTTCATCACTTGTTTCGCTGGAAGTGCGAGGTA